TTTTCAATATACGAGTTCTACCAAGCTTGTGAATGCCCTTATGTTTACAGTAACTATGTTCTAAAAATAATGCGTAAAGTTGGAAATTCCTCAGCCTCATAAGTACAGCGCCAGAAGATCAGCATCCACCCGCTTCAGTTAATTCAGTGACAACTGCGGCTTCACACGCATAACGGTACTATATGCTCATGTGTGGCAAACACGTTTTAGACACCACTGCTTATTTAGGAGCGTCTCTGACTCACATTTCATTAAATTTATAATTTTCCTGTATCTAGACATCAGTTTTTATTATGCAGATAATTACACACACAGGGCATACGTATCTGCTTCTATTTGCACATTTAAATGGAGGCGTGTCAGAGGTGTCTCATGTGTGCTCAGTTCCATGTTTGTCCAGATGTTTGTAGGAAAGATGTGCAGAAACATGCATGCTCACATTGATACATCTGAATGTTTCTGCGTCCAGATGACCTGAATGATCATTGTTGGATGCTTTACTTGGATTATTGAGTATGAACCTGATGTTTTAATGCAGTTTTCACCATTTTCCTGAAAGCTGCACTTCATCATACGTGAGGCACCTTTGTAAGGATGGTACCATTTGCTGTTTCTGTTTGTGTCTGTGTTTCCCTAGTGTTTCCTCGTCAGTTTAATTGTTGCCACCTTTGTCTCGTCACACCTGTTGTAATCACGTCTTGTCTTGTCCTTGTATATAAGCCTCCTGTTCTGTGTTGTTCCTTTGTCGGGTCGTATTCGTTGGTTCTTCATGTTTCCTGCGTCTCCTGAGTTTTCCCTGAGCTTCCTGAGTCCTTGTGAGTTTCTCCCTGAGTCTTCTGGTTCATGTAAGTTTTGCTGCCACGTCAGCTTATTGTTTTGTTACCGTTTTATTTCGCCATTAAAGTATTTAGTTCTTTTAATCTGCCGAGTTGAGTCCTGTCTGCACAACTGGGTTCGTTCCTGTCCACCTGATCCTGACAACCTTAGAGGTAACAGACCTGTGACTTCAGGCTGAAGTGATTACTTTGATTTAACATCACAAACAGCAGTTATGTTCCTTGTTTTCTCTTCCTGCTTTCGGTGAAGGCAAATGCCCGCTCCTTCCCCTATCTGTCCTGCTTCTGCTCTTTGTCTTGTGCTGTTGGTATACATCTTATTATGCCATCTGTATGCTGTTTTTTTTGTGCTGAGATTGTTTTTTGCACATAGATATCAAGATATGAATTTTTTTTTTTTTTACCTCCTCTTTCCTCGTGGTGCCCTTTCCCTTATCTAATGAAAAGGGCAGCACCTCCCATGAGGCTGCAGCCTCAGGCACCCGTCTACCCATGTCTTATGTTGTTGGTTGTCTTTTTGTTTCTTTGGACTGCTGTACTGAAATTAAATTTTGTTGTGGCTTTTGTGCAATGACAATAAAAGCATTATGATTCTGATTATTTTAGAGTCTACAGGACTTATCTACATTTAGTAATTTAGTTGATGAATACGCTCTGGAAAATCTTTTGCCGTTTGTTTGAGCTGTTTATAACAATTTTTTTTGGAAACAAAGTCATTCTCAAAGGAGTTCAGACTGGCTGATAAAAACACTCCCTCCATCTTCAGGCAGGACACCTTTTCACTTCTGTCCCAGTTTCAACCACAGGAACTGTTGCATCTCTGTCCCAGTTTCCTAACCGGGACTCACCCGCGAGTCACACACTGTACACACTTAATCACATAAACAGGCAAGTGGGAGACTTTAAAAAAATATTCCCAATGTTTTTATGTAGGATTCTAATTTTTTGTCATTCCTAACCCTAACCTAACCAGACTTATTTCATGATGCGCTAAATGTTTTCTATCGTGGTGAGGTCTGAACTGCAAGCAGGCCAGTTCAGCACCTAGAATCTTCTACTTGTGATGGATGCAGTGTGAGGTTTTCTTGCTGTAATCTGCAAGACCTTCCCTGAAAAAGATACAATTTAGATGGGAACATATGTTGTTCTAAAACCTATGCATACCTTTGGTGGCTTTTCAGAGTAAGCAGCCAATGTTATGGGGACTAATGGACCCCCATACCATCAGAGAGGCAGACTTTTGAACTGTGGACTGATACCAGGACAGATAGTCCCTCTTAGTATAAAGGATGTGGCATGCATGGTTTCCTAAAAACAAAATTTTAAGTTTGATTTGTCTTATCAGATGAGATGTTCACTTTGTGTCAGTCCATTTTTAAAGCTGTTTTGCTCAGAGAAGAGAGTTGTGTTTCTGAACGGTATCCACATACAGCGTCTTCATTTCTTGGTGGCACAGCAAATTGTATTTACAGATGTTTTGTGGAAGTGTTCATGAGCCCATGCAGTGATACTCGTAATAAAATCAGACCCGTTTTAAACGCAGTTCAGCCAGACTTTCAACCTTTTTCTTTACGTACAAAGATTTCTTTAGATAATTGAAATTGTTTGATAATATTATGAAATATAGACGAGATTTTCAAAGTTTCCCCAATTTTCCATCGAGGAACATTACTCTTACATTGTTTCACTGTTTTTAGATGCAACTTTTCCGACTGGTCAACCTCTGAAATGCTATTTATGTATCCACTTCTCTGACTGTTGCCAATTATTCAGTTTAGTTGCAGAATGCTCCTCCAGCTGTTTGTACCACTTTGTTTTTTTTTTAATTTGTGTTAAACATTTTCCCCAAAAACATCGTTTCTTTTTAAACAATTAAAATTTTTGCAAATTTCCATGGCTAGTACAGGTTTATGATCATTTCAAATCATTGCACGCTGTATTTCTTTACATTTACAGGATGTTCCATGTTTTTTAGAGCTGGAGTTGGAAAAACTCATGGATTTATCATCCTTGGCACTTCCATTACACACACACACTTTCAGTCGAGCAAATAAGCAGCTGTTTTTTTTTTAATCACTGAGTGATTTGTTCAATATTATATATATATATAAAAAAAAACAATCAGTTTTAAGCTACAGAACAGAAAAACAGCACAAAGGATCTGTAGTTCTTAAAAGGTTTTTCCATTTGGGGAAAAACAAAAACAAGTAAAAGCAGCTTTTCCTGCTGCGATCCAGCAGGGCGTTTGTTCAGTTAGGATGTTAGGTGACAGGATGATCAACAACTGCTGCGTGCTGACATTTCTCACTAAAATTAGATTGTGATTCTTTAGCTGCGTGTCGCTTGCTGAAAGCCTTTTTTTACCAAATCACCAGCTCTGCTTTTGTTTAAATCTTCTTTATTTCTCTCAACAGCCTTTGAGAAGACTATTTCTGTCTGATCACGTCAAGTCTTAGACTAAAGATGTATTCAAGTACATGAAAGGTTGGATTTTTTTCTAGTTATCTTGTGTCAAGTGTAACAGTGAAGACTGGATTAAATAAATTAATATATTTACCGTATTTTCCAGAGTATAAGTCAAAGTTCTTCTCATAGTTTTGTCAGTCCTGTGACATATAGTCCAAAGCGACTTGTTTTTTTCCATATTCATAACGCAATTTTTGACAGACACTTTAAAAGTTAATTTATACCGACATGAACCAGAGTAAACATTAACATTTGCAGCTGCTAATGGGCGCGCTGGGCTTTTGACAACTGTGGTATATGTTGTTTCTCTACAGCTACCCCCCACCCCACAAAACATTCACTTTGACAACTGCGAAAAACTTAACACAAGTAAAATGCCCCCAAAAAGAAAATCCTGTTTTGCAGATTACAAACTGCAGGTAATAAAATATGTAGCCCAAAACGGTAATCAAGCAGCAGAAAGAAAGTTTGTAAACAGGTGGGGTCCACGCAGTCTGCCTGGGGGATTCAACCCTGCGGAAGGGATGGCTGTGTGCCCCCCCCCCCCCCCCCCCTCATGAGGAACCTTCCCCTAGTATCTGGCTGGCTTTATAGTGTCCTCCCACCTGCACCTTGCCGCTTCCCGGGGCCAAGGACCACGTGCCTCGCTGCCACCCCCCCCCCCCATCTGCAGCTTGCTGTGCCCTTCCTTCCCGCTCCGGTGGTATTAGGATGGAGCCTGCTCTCCCCGGCTACCGACCCGAACGGACTGTTCTCAGTGCGACCCGACGGCGCCGCCCAGGCGAAATGAAGCTGCTTTGACCGTTAAAGTGCATTTATTCAGGAAAAGTTGAACTGAGACGCACCTTTGCCATAATGTCGAGCAAATAATTGTTTTTAGGTCTTAATCTTGTTAAATGTCAAAGAACTGCAACAGCGAGTCCTCCCGTGCGCACTCCTGCAGCCGCCAATCGATTTTTGGCACAACACCGACCCACATTTCCCAGGGGGTCAGCGGTGACGCATTTTAAATTCAACTTATACTCCGAAGTGACATGTTTTTTTTCCCTCTTCATGTTGCTTTTTTTTGACTGATGCGACTGATACTCCGGAAAATACGGTAATAATTACTACTAGTTGAAGTACACCCCCCGCCCCCAATAGATATATAGCAGCTCCTGTTTCCTGGAACATCTTGCAAAAAGATCTGAAGCTCTCGACCTTGACCTCTCTAAGTGACTTTAAACATCTAAGTTCCCGGCAACAACCAACGCAGACATGTTCCTGTTTTGAGTTTTCTACACCGTCTTATAATCCAGCTGTTGTCACTTCTTTTCCTTTAAATTACCATTTTATTTTCACTAGATAAAAACAACTGTATGCATCTTTTATGATTGTCCACTGTTGTCATCACTCTGTCAAAAAAATCAGGTCTCTCTTGTAAAGGAGTCCCTGAGGCTCAATGGGATTAACGTGTCTAAATAAAGGTTGAATGAAAGATTACTCAACATGTACTGCTGAAATTATTTGAGGTCTTTCTAGTTTAAACCTGTAATTCTCTCCTGGTCAGATAAACAAGATTAAAAAAAATCTCGTCTTAAAAAAAATGTTTCTTCAAAAAACTGCACAAAATGAGAAATGATGGATTTTTTTTTAAATTTAATATTAAGAGATACTTAAAAAAGTGAACAAAAAGTAAAGCTTTTTTTTTTTTCCCCAAAACAAACACAAAAAAGTTTATTTCATTGTTATAACTAAATGAAACATTATTTTAATCCAACATACGATACAAGGTGGGCAACTTCACGCTTGTTTGTTCATGTTCTTTGAGTGTTGGTGCACGGCCTGCACGAAGGCGCCGACGCTCTCCGGGTCCATGTCGGGGTAGAGGCCGTGGCCCAGGTTAGCGATGTAGCCCCTCGTGCCGAAACCCTCCAACATCCTCTTCACGATGTCTGAAATGTGCTCCTGAAAGACGAGAAGGAATGTAAAGGGACTTTAAAACCACCGGGTCGTGTCAAAGTAAAACTTTGAGCAAGCTAGCAGCTTGACTTTTTAAAGTAAAGTACAGGTTTCAGAATGCTTTTGTCATTTTGTCACACTTAAATGTTTCAGATCATCAGATGTTAATAACAAATATAATGCTTCAAAATATAGTTTTTAAATTAAGATGTCATTGGTGAAGTATAAAAAAGTATTCAAAACAACTCCTCTGTGTGTGAACATGTAATTCTCTGCTGAACTGAAGCTGGTTGTGCCACCTTTAGCCGCTGCGCCTCAGATTATTGTCCTGCTGCAGGACCCAAGCGAAGGTCACGAATTGATGGATGGAGCTTCTCCTTCAGGGTTTCAAGCAGAGAGCGTGGTTCCATCAGGTACTGCAAGTCGTCCCGGTCTGGAAGCAGCAAAGCCGCCCCAGAGCATCGTACCACCACCACCATGTTTGACTGTCAGTGTGATCATCTGTTCTGAAGTGCGGTGTTGGTTTGAATTCGATTCAGTTTGTGTACACAGCTCCGAGTCACAAGAGAAGTCGTCTCAGGGCACTGTAACCAAAACTTAATCTCTTAGTCTTTAACCAAAGTTTAGTGTTTGTTATGATCAGTTAAAACTAACCTGATTTTGTACAAACTGTTTAATAGGTTGTGTAATGTAAAATGTACTCGTACACACTGAATTTCACTGCGACGTCTTGCCCTGTGATGCTCTGCTGTAACTATTTGAAGTTATTAGTGTATATATATATATATATATATATATATTCCTTTCTGATTTTTTTTTTTTTTT